GTTTCTTTAGGTAAGCTTAGCAACTCACCACAATTCCTCTCTACACCTGTTAATGCTTTTTAAATTTTTTCCTTGCAACATATCAGTTGAGTGGACCCTCCTCAATTCTTGATTTTATCTGGATTTGTTTTTATCCACTATTTTATTTGTTACTGCCACTATAGTAAAACACTTCACAATATGTTAAAATTGAGATTAATGTAAACAACTACTGTGTATACAGTTGGTCGGATTAGTCTGAAGATTTCTGTGTAATATCTTCCATGACCAGTAGACGATGCTAAAGTAAAAGGGACTCATTTAGGAAATCCCTGGAGGACAAGTACACTTGTTTTCCAACAAATAAAAAAAAAAAAAAAACATTATTTTAATTTTTTTTTTAGCTTTTTAACTTAACAAATAGCTATGAACCAAATGCTAGAATTCCAGATTTCATTAATAATATGTGATCATTCGATTCATTTTTAGCTAAGTTTAATCATACTGAAATCACCACAGAAAATGGGCACAGGCTGGCTGATTTAGCAATAGCAATCCCTCCTTCATGATGTGCTCAGCTCCAAGGGACCGAGCTTTAGAGTGTAAAGTCCTTTCAGATTCCCTATAATGTATGTTATACTTAGTGTGACCATGCTGAGTATATTACCAGTTTGTAACAGTGAGTCATTTGAGCCTGTGAGTACCTTCAACTGACTTGTCATGATAAAATCATGAGGCAAAATTTATCTGGGAGGTCATGTGTTAAATCTTGATGGTGACCACTTTAAAATCCCCTATAATGGACAGTAACTAGGATATACTTTATGTTATTCAGGGTTATTCAGCAAAGTGAAAGTTCAAAGTGGATATCAAATTTAAGGTATAAATTGTTGGAATGGAAAAATTCTCCAAATAAGACATGCCTTAGATTTGAAATTTGCATTCTCACTTTAGAAAGTAGCCCTTCTAAGTGATTTGAAAGAATGTACAACTGTTATCTAGCTCTAAGGTTATGTGTTCTTTATCACTGGGACATTGGCATCAATTTAATATTTTTGATAAGCTTTTCAAAGGATTTAATATTTTTGGACACATTTTACAGTTATTGTATATTTATTAACAACATTTTTTAATACTTTATATATAGATATTTTTCCAAGATGTAATTTTTTAAAATTTTTATATTTTGAAAATATAATTTAACAGTTTATCCATAAATATTAAGTAGTTTGAAAAGCTTATAAAAAAAAAGAAATAGAGCCAATTATCAGATATGACTCAAGTTGTCATATGGAGCTTGAAAACCAACACTATGTACATTGTAAGTTCAATGAAGGGTCATTAACTTAACATTTAGAAAGACCCTCCCTGGACTGATAGGGAAGGGGGGGACATGACTGATGCCAAGATAAGGGGTGGGAGTTACAGGGATACAATTTAGCAATATGGACTGGCAGATATATAGGCAGTTAGGGGAGGGGACTTACCAGTCAGCCTGTACAAGATCCGGCAGCCAGGCCCAAGATGGAGTTTCGGCGGGAAGATCGAGGAGTCCCCCTTCTCTTCCGGCACTGCCGGAAAAGACATCAGGACGTAGGGCGCGAACTGGAGCAACGCCAGAAGTGAGGTCAGAAGATGACGCTGTGACGTACCCGTAAGTGGGACCTCCACCCAGAACATGGAAGCAGGTAGTGGACCGGAATGGTGCACGGGGGCCACGTCTCGGGACGGCAGTCCCAAGGTCGAGAAGCCTGGATGCCGGCGGTCTGGAGACAGTGTCGGCCGCAGCACTCCTGGGAGCTGGAAGGCTCCAGGGTGAGTCAGATGAGGACTCAGAAGAGGAGAGAGCCGGTCAGGAGGAGCGGGGACCAGTGAACCTGCCGCACTTCGGTGAGTTGGCCTGCGCTAGCGCCTGGGGTCCTGCTGGGGGGTCTGGGCAGGATAGTAAGGTGTTGCGCCTGCTTAGGTTGTTAGTGGGCGGACAGGCTAAGGGGAATGGGTCAGGGACGCTAGGGCAGGCTTCTACCAGTGGGCAAGGGATTAGGGGTCCCTTGGAGGCGCGTATCGTCTGTGTCTCCCTGGGTGTGAGTTGGCCCCTTTAGGATTGCACGTGCCCGCTGACATCCAGGACAGGATTGTGCAAGGTGAGTTTGTGGATCTCCTTTCGCTAGTGCCGCCAGACAAGGAGTTGGTGGACAGAGCACGACGTGGCGAGCAGTTTGGAGAGAAGGGTAAGGTAATTCCGCTTACTTTTGGTAACTGGTTGCAAGGATTTAACATCTTAGTGCGTCGCTTCCCTGAGCGGACCTCCTCGTTGTTCGGTTATCTGGACTTGATTTGGGGGGCATAAAAAGTGTATGGCGGTCAATGCTGGTTTAAATATGACCAGCAATTTTTGAAACCGAGATTCCATAAGGACTCTGGACAGGTCTGACCGATCCGCCTGCAATCGAGATAATGCATCAGCCACCACATTTTCCACCCCCGGGACATGACAAGCTTGAACCCATACATTAAACTGCAAACTGAGCCGTCGCAGCAGCGCCAAAACCGGACTTTGAATAAACAAAACCTTTATTTTTTTAGATCAAAGATTTCCACCATGTAAAGGGAAGTTAAAGAAATAGATCTAGCATTATATTTTGTTTCCTCATCCTCCCTGTACCATAAAAAAGTGAATAAATAGGAACTGAAAGTTCCTGAGGTTTCTTAGGAACAGAGTCTTGCCTGTCACCCAAAGCCCACCCTCTCTATATGAAACCACCACAAGGATAACTCCATCAGCTAGCACACATGAAATCACAAATCTTCTTATCCCCTTAAGACCGGAGGGCGTACTATTACGCCCTATTCTAAGCGTCTCTAAACTCCGCCGGGCGTAATAGTACGCCCTCCGGTCTTTTCCTACTTACCCGGTCGCCGGCGATCCCACGCCGGCGATCGCGGTTCGGGAGACACCCAGGGAGCCCCCCGCGGCACATCTGACATGCTGGGCGGGCGGGCGGGCGTGCGGCGCTGGCAGGCGGCTGGCGAGGGAGCTCTTCCTCTGAGCACTCTGCTCAGCTCCCTCACGCGCCGCAGAGTGAGGCTTGGAGGCGGAAGATGATGTCATATTCCGGCCCCCAGCCTCACTCTGCGGTGCGCGAGGGAGCTGAGCAGAGTGCTCAGAGGAAGTGCTCCCTCGCCAGCCGCCCGCCCAGCAGCAGCCCCGCCCCCCAGCACTCCCAAAGGTAATGAGGCTGGGGGGGGGATAAAAAAAAAGTGTTAATATCTGACTGTGTGTGTGTGTTTGTGTCTGTGTGTGTGTTTGTGTCTGACTGTGTGTGTGTGTGTGTCTGACTGTTTGTGTGTGTTTGTGTCTGACTGTGTGTGTGTGTGTCTGACTGTGTGTGTGTGTCTGACTGTGTGTGTGTGTGTGTGTGTGTGTGTGTCTGACTGTGTGTGTGTGTTTGTGTCTGACTGTGTGTGTGTGTGTCTGACTGTGTGTGTGTCTGTCTGTGTGTGTGTGTGTGTGTGTGTCTGACTGTGTGTGTGTGTGTTTGTCTGACTGTGTGTGTTTGTGTCTGACTGTGTGTGTGTGTCTGACTGTTTGTGTGTGTGTGTGTGTGTCTGACTGTGTGTGTGTGTGTATTTAGAAGGTGGGGTGGGGGGGGGGGGCCTGAGTTTTGTCCTGCCAAGGGCAGCACAAAACCAGGATACACCACTGGGTATATATCAGGGCAGTGTGTGAGACATAACCTTGTGTATATACTGGGGGCATATATTGATTTACCCGAGCACACAGATTGCACTCTCAGGACTTGCTACAGCAACCATCACTTACCCAAGCACTGAGATTGAACTCACAGGACTTGTCCCAGTACCCACTCCAGCACCCAGGACTTACCCCAACACAGATTGCACTCATGGTACTTGCTCCAGCACCCATGACTTACCTCTGCATTTAGATTGCACTTACAGGACTCGCCACAAGACTTTAAAGAGCCTTTTGTATGCACCATGCATGTGGGAAAAGAAGCCGGATGAGTTTTCCAGTGGCAACAAAGACAACATTACAATGGCTGCGAGAGTGCTCTTTCACACTCTTGGTGACGCATCTGCATCCCGCCACGGGACTGCATATTGGGCTGTCTAAGTTAAATGGTTGCAGTTTGTGTGTGATATATTTATCTGAATGCGTCTATTGGGGACTGCATCTGATGTATTGGGTTGTCTGTGTGTGATAGGAATAGTTTGTGTGTGATGTTATTGAGGTGTGCATTAGCACCGGGCTGGCTCTGTGTGGTGAGAATGTGTGTGTTCATTTTGTGCTGTCAGTGTGTAATGGGGACTGCGTGTGTTTTTGATGGTTTGGGGCTGGCTGTGTACGGTGCTACTGTGTTTAACTTAATAATAACCTGATGAGTAGATAGAATAATGTAACTTGTTACTTGTGCTGCCTGTGACCTGTATGAATGTTGGTGAATCCTAGAGCAAAACAAACTAAAATTACATTCATATCATCTATCTAAAAGCTTCAGTTCAAGTTATTTACTGTCTCAGTAGTAATGCCACTATCTAGAGCAGCGTTTCCCAATTGGTGTTCCGCGAGAACACAAATGGGGTTCCGCCATAATTTTGGAAAACAAAATGGCCGCTGCGATAATTGAGGCGGGCGGCGAGGGAGCTGAGCAGGGAAGAGTGCTCCCTCACCACCCGCCTCAATTATCGCAGCGGCCATAATATGCACACAAAGATTTACACACCCACACACAGAGATACACACTGACACACAGATACACACACCGGCACATACAAACACAAATGCACACACTTTGACACATAGATACACCACCTTGACACACAGATACATGCACACACATACACACACAGATACACACTGTGTATCAAGGTCTGTGTCTCTGTGTGCTACTATGTGCCAATGTGTGTGTATCTGTGTGTCAGATTCATACACACTGACACAGAGATGCACACACTGGCACATACAAACACAGATACACACACCTTGATACACAGACACACACAGTCAATGTGTATCTGTGTGTGTATGTATCTGACACACAGATACATACACACTGTGTCACGGTGTGTATATCTATGTGCCACTGTGTGTATATCTGTGTGTCAGATACATACACACACAGATACACATTGACACACAGATACACGCACTGGCGCATACAAACACAGATACACACTCATTGACACACAGACACACACCGGCACATACAAAACACTGCACTGGATGGGGGGTAAACTATGAAACACTATATCAAAGAGTTCTCAGGAAAAAATCACTGTCACTCTGCTTGCTCCCTCAGTTCCTCAGTCTCAGCCAGGTAGGTAAGGTGTCACACCTTAGGTGTAGCCGCACGATCCGCTCTGCTCGCTCCATAGTCCCTCTGCAATCTCCAGGCAGAGTAAGGTGTTGCTGCACTCTCTGCTTCGCTTGCTTCTATCACCCTTCCATCCATGTCTCTTCTTCCTTCCCTTCCATCCATGTCTCTGTTCCCTTTCCTTCTATGTCTGTCCCCCACTTCCAACTCTCTGTTCCCCCTCCATCTATATCTCGCTCCACCCTTCATCCATGTCTCTCCCCAAATTCCATCTCTCTGTTCCTCTTCCATGTGTCTCCTCCCTTCCATCCATGTCCCCCCCATTTCATTCATATCTCTTTCCCATCCATATTTCCCCCCATGTCCCACTCCACGTCTCTCTCCTTCCCATTTCTTTCTCTCATCCATCTCTCCCTCCATTGTCTCTTGCCTCCTATCCATCCATCCATCCATCTTTCTCCCCATGCCCTCCTCCCATGCTCTCTCTCTCCCATATCTCTTTCTCCCCATGCTCCCTCCCATGTCTTTCTCCCCATGCCCTCCTCCCATGTGTCTCTCTCTCCCCATGCTTCCTCATATGTCTCTTTCTCTCCCCGTGTCTCTCTCCCCATGCCCTCATCCCGTGTCTCTCTCCCCTATGCACCCTCCCATGTCCACCATACCACGATGCCACAGGGTGCGTACAAGAAGTCTCTCACGAGGCACCTCCTGAATGCTGCCAAGAGCCTGATCCCGGCTCGCTGGAAGACACGTACGGTACCAACGCTATCAGACTGGATGGAATCGGTAGAAGAAATCTACACCATGGAGAGCCTCACGGCGAACCTACGGGGGACAGGGGAGAAATGCACCCGACTGTGGGCACCCTGGATTGAATACATGGCCCGTAAATCGGCAGGACGGTGAGCGCGGGCAACCTGGCGGGCGAGCGGCCAACTGGAAACTCGGGGTTGGGATAGAGGCTGGAGGTGTGTCGGTGGACCCCTCTTCCTCCCAGCCGTGGCAGATTTTCTCTCTACCTACCCCCCCCCTCCCCTGCTCCCCTACTTAGAAAATGACGCCTTATACGGAGCACTCGAGCTTAACTGGCACTCCCCCCCTACGGACTGTTGCCTGACCATACACGGACTGTCACCTGACTGTATACGGACTGTCATCTGACTGTACGCGGACCGTCCCCTGTCTATACTCGGACTGATACCTGACTATACACGGACGGTCACCTGCCTACACACGGACGGATACCTGACTATACTCGGACTGTTCCCAGACGCGACCGTATTGGCGTAAAACAAGTGACTGTAGGACCAGAATATATTCCTTGTATGGAATACTCGAGCTTCACTGGCACTCTCTCCCAATGGGCTGATGCCTAACGATACAAGGACTGTTCCCTAGAATGTCCATATTGGTGTAAAACAAGGGACCGAAGTTCCAGAATATACTCTGAGCTCTACACACGGGGCTAGTTCTAAAACAGGCCATTTGTTTGGCTGTAGTGGGTGTGATAGGGAGTGACTAGCGCGCCAGACAGTCCACTCTAAGCCCGACCTTTCTATTCATGTTTAATATTCATGTTACCAGGCAAATGTTACAATGTTGGGATATCACAGTTACTATTGGTTGTTCTGTTCTAGACTGAGGCTGAGGGAGGGTATATTAACCGGCAAACTGTGGGTTAGTGCACCAGGATGTATTGTACTTTGCTGGAATATATACGCCTCTTTTTTTATCATCTTCTGTATGTACACGTGTATTCAACGCCTCTTTAAAATAAAATAAAATAAAGATTGTCAAAAAAAAAAAAGAATGTTGATGATCTGGGCTTGTTTTGCAGCCACAGGACCTGGGAACCTTGCAGTCATCGAGTTGACCATGAACTTCTCTCTATACCAAAGTGTTCTAGAGTCAAATGTGAGGTCATCTGTCAAAAGCTTGGCCGAAATTGGGTTATGCAACAGGACAATGATCCCAAGCACACCAAAAAGTCTACAACAGAATGACTGAAAAAATTAATTTTTCTAAAGTGTTGCAATGGCACAGTCAAAATCTAATCCTCAACCCAATTGAAATGTTGTGATGGGACCTTAAGAGATCTGTTCATAAATAAATGCCAGGAAACCTCAATGAACTGAAGTAACACTGTAAAGAAGAGTTGGCCAAAATTCCTCCACAACATTGTGAGAGGCTGATAAAGTCATAAAGAAAGGTGGTTCTACAAGCTATTAAACCACAAGGTGTACTTGGGTTTTCGCACATAGCTTCTGTCAGGGTGGCGGTCCGAAGACCAGGACACATGTGCCTGATGTAGAAGATGAGCGGAGTCTTCAGCGTGGAAGTTGATAAGTAGGGCCTGGTGCAGGGTAACCATATGCCCCCTGGTGTTGGGCACCAGCGTTTATGCGGCCACAAACCAGAACCCTGATGCAGCTTAGCGGAAGCCAGAGCAGATGAATGCTGAGATGTATCCAGTACTAGAAACAAGGTAAGACTAGAATAGGCACCAATCAAGAAAACAGGACTAAACTAGTAGAACCCAGAACCAGAGAAGGATAGAAAGCAGGACCCAGAACATGTACACAATACAAAAGGGAAACATTAACAGAACATGGGCAGGACAGAACAGGACTGTACATGGACTGGGAATACAAAATAAAACAAGACAAGAAATATAAGGCAAAACAAGAGGGGACATAACTAAATACTATAAATGTAAAACATTGGAGATTTAGACATACAGGGAGTGCAGAATTATTAGGCAAGTTGTATTTTTGAGGATTAATTTTATTATTGAACAACAACCATGTTCTCAATGAACCCAAAAAACTCATTAATATCAAAGCTGAATATTTTTGGAAGTAGTTTTTAGTTTGTTTTTAGTTATAGCTATGTTAGGGGATATCTGTGTGTGCAGGTGACTATTACTGTGCATAATTATTAGGCAACTTAACAAAAAACAAATATATACCCATTTCAATTATTTATTATTACCAGTGAAACCAATATAACATCTCAACATTCACAAATATACATTTCTGACATTCAAAAACAAAACAAAAACAAATCAGTGACCAATATAGCCACCTTTCTTTGCAAGGACACTCAAAAGCCTGCCATCCATGGATTCTGTCAGTGTTTTGATCTGTTCACCATCAACATTGCGTGCAGCAGCAACCACAGCCTCCCAGACACTGTTCAGAGAGGTGTACTGTTTTCCCTCCTTGTAAATCTCACATTTGATGATGGACCACAGGTTCTCAATGGGGTTCAGATCAGGTTAACAAGGAGGCCATGTCATTAGATTTCCTTCTTTTATACCCTTTCTTGCCAGCCACGCTGTGGAGTACTTGGACGCGTGTGATGGAGCATTGTCCTGCATGAAAATCATGTTTTTCTTGAAGGATGCAGACTTCTTCCTGTACCACTGCTTGAAGAAGGTGTCTTCCAGGAACTGGCAGTAGGACTGGGAGTTGAGCTTGACTCCATCCTCAACCCGAAAAGGCCCCACAAGCTCATCTTTGATGATACCAGCCCAAACCAGTACTCCACCTCCACCTTGCTGGCGTCTGAGTCGGACTGGAGCTCTCTGCCCTTTACCAATCCAGCCACGGGCCCATCCATCTGGCCCATCAAGACTCACTCTCATTTCATCAGTCCATAAAACCTTAGAAAAATCAGTCTTGAGATATTTCTTGGCCCAGTCTTGACGTTTCAGCTTGTGTGTCTTGTTCAGTGGTGGTCGTCTTTCAGCCTTTCTTACCTTGGCCATGTCTCTGAGTATTGCACACCTTGTGCTTTTGGGCACTCCAGTGATGTTGCAGCTCTGAAATATGGCCAAACTGGTGGCAAGTGGCATCGTGGCAGCTGCACGCTTGACTTTTCTCAGTTCATGGGCAGTTATTTTGCGCCTTGGTTTTTCCACACGCTTCTTGCGACCCTGTTGACTATTTTGAATGAAACGCTTGATTGTTCGATGATCACGCTTCAGAAGCTTTGCAATTTTAAGAGTGCTGCATCCCTCTGCAAGATATCTCACTATTTTTGACTTTTCTGAGCCTGTCAAGTCCTTCTTTTGTGTAACGAGAATATACCCCTACACGCAGGATCCAGCTAAACAGAAGCCAATACAGAGGAGAGATACGTCTACCGGACCTTAGAATGGCCGGACTCGACGTATATGAGAGGAGACAGAGCCAGGAACAAACCGAGGTCAAGGGCACAGAGAGACAGCGTAAACTAGGACAAGCCGGGTCTGGTACACGGAAAACAGCAAGCCGGCAAACAGTACAGATAAGGATAAAGCGAAAACAAAGTCAGAATACGAAGCCAAAGTCAATACGAGAAAACACAACTGAACACCACAAGCGCTAAAGGGAACTGAAACAGAAACCACGATAGGGCAAGGAGCTAAGGGAAAAAGGTAAGTTTAAATACCTAAACAAATTTGATTGGTCCCTGTCACTCCACGCCCCCAAAAGGTAAGTTGTATAGGGAGTGTGGTATGACAGGAGCCAATGGGAGCCTTTTGGCAATTAGGCTCCCACTGTCTCTTTAAGAGCGCGCCCGAGACTCGCGGCGCGCTCTTAGTTTCAGGCGGGACACGTGACCGCTCACGCGGTCACTGCCCGCCTTCCATCTAAAGCAGTCGGATGAGCCGCGCGCGGCTCGTGCAGCCGCAGGACCGCGCGCGGCTTGAAGAGAGGACCGCGACCGGCCCCCGGTTAAGGTAAGTAACGCTACAGTACCCCCCCTGAGGACACGCCCTCCGGGCGGGTAGGACCAGGCCTGGCAGGAAAACGAGAATGGAAAGAGCGCACAAGA